CTGTAATTTTCCATACAATCACGGAGAATTTGAATACCTCCACACCAGCCTAAAAATGGACCTTCAAATCCTTGAGCCTCTAATATGCTTTTAATCAATGGAAGAATAATTTATTAATTGTATATAGAGAGTGCATTCATAAATGTGATGATGTATTTTATCACTGATCCAAGATGTCAATATTAGAGTCTATTTTACTTATATTTTAAGCAATTATACTTTTTTGCAATTCACTAATGAGGATCATTTTCAAACTGCTTTAAATATCCATTATAAACAAATATTTGAAGCTATTAGAGTTACCTTGAACTGTGCATTTCTAGTATGTAATACTTATTTAGTTAGCTTGTGCCTTTAGTTTCTTAAAGTTATATTTGTATTATATGCAGGAAATGCACTTTGTATTACCTACAGCTGTGGTTTTTAATACTGCCTTGATTACTGTTGTTCTCATGTTATGCCAAAAGGTCTAAGAGTGAAATGTGTTACGAGTTTGTCTTTGGAAGTAGATTTGGCATTTTCCCATTTCCTGGGTGCAGTCTAAGGTACATTTTGAACAATATCTCTTATGAGAATATGGATCCATTAAGACTTGCACGATATTACATGGCCCAGTTACAAGAGCAAAAAAAATGCCTTCATCGTAACAGTTTCGTAAATTTAGGAAACTGAATATAAATGTTGTGTTGAGATTACAGCGCTAAAGAAATGTGTTATTACTGCAAGCGCATGGGAGACTGAAGTCGTAGATACACATGGGCCAGCCAGCAGTGATTCGTGAGAACTACATGAACAAATAGCTTTGGACCATCTTGTTCATGAACAACCTCAGATGGAGGCAGGGAATATTTCAGTCTCCATTTTTTTTTTCTAGTAGTTAGACCAATTTCTCAGTGGTTGGTTGTTTGGTTGGTTTTTTTTTTAATATATCTCATTTTCTTTTTTTCTTTTTTCTTTTTTTTTGATTTTGCACTATAGCCTAGAGACCCAATTGAGGAAAAAAAGAAAAATAATAGCATGGAAATTTTTACTGTTATTTAGATCAGATGATAATTTGATGCTAGCATTCTGCACTGCAAACAAGGTTCTGAAAGTGGAAAAAAGAAAATAATTAAAACAAAATAAAAACCACTATTGCACACTATTCTGTAGCAAAGTACCTACCATGAGAAATTCGTGCTATATTTTTTATGACAACCAAATGAATAGTGTGTACAATAACATTTCCTTTGCTTTCATATTTATTTAGCAAATCTAGAACATTTCAAAGTTATAAATATATATATATAGATATCTATGTAGAACATAGCCAAATAAATATATATGAACTGGTCAGTTTGCAACTGGGCGTACACACCTTAGCTCTTTGGTTTGAGCTCTTTTGCATTCCTCAGCTGTGCACTGGCTGGCCAGGGGTGGCCTCACACTTTGACCATGCTCTGGGGTCCCACCCTGCGCCCCCCTGCCCACTGAGCCCCCTCACCAGCGGCCAGGGCTGGGCTCATAGGGCAGCAGCTTCTCCAGGGTGAGCAATGGCAATGGGTGCTGTTGGAAGCCAAGGTGCTGCTCCAAAGAGGAAGGTGGTTTAGGCAGAGGAGCTCCTCTGGTTTAGCTGAGCCAAAGGAGATGGGCAGATCCCCAGCAGGGTGTTCGTGTGCTCGGGGCGCTCGCCGTAGTGCGGCTGATCTGGCGCGGTGACACCCAGCTCAGGCTGTGCCAACAGCCCTGAGGGTTTTCCTGTCAAATGCTGACTGTTATTTAAACCTCTTCTTGATACAAAACATTACCGGGTCGAAAGCACCCTGGCTGCCAGAGGAATCGCTTCCAGGCAGAAACTGGGAATGGTGGAGTCGGACTCGCTGTCGATTTGTCTGGGCATTTGTCACCTGCCATTATTTGTCTAAGGAAACGTGTTTGACAATTTCCAGTTTTTCCTTAGATCTCGTGGTGGACTTTAGCCTTTTAATAAATGTTAGTATATCAGATCGTGTCCTTGACAGTATTTTACTTGTATGAACCATGATAAAACATTACAATCTTCATACTCTTCTGGCAGAAGTGTCAATAAACGAGAACGAGAAGCATAGCATACGATATATGTCAAAGTAATGTTCCTTTTTAGCTTTCTCATCAACAGTAAAAAATGTTTACAATGTATGCCAAGATCTTCACTTTCTGTCTAACACCAGTTAGAGGTTCTGATCTTACAGAAATTGTGTTATAATGGCCTCAGCCTCGTTGCTAGGAAACAATAGATCCCAATTTTTTTATTCCTGCTCTAACTCCTGTGCTGAATAGTGACTGGATACTGTACAGGTTTATGTTATATGGCTGCAGTTAAATGGTCTGATGCATTTTGCTCTGGGTTTCAGACCAGAAGCATGCATTTTCTACAAGAACATCCCAGCAACACGCTGTAAATATTGAAAGTTAATATATTATGTGTCGATATTTGAAAAAGAAAGTACTTTGACTATTTCATTTTTAAAAAATAAAGGTGCAAACTGATGGCGTGTGATGTTGTCTTTGTTTACACGAGTATTTGGGATGTTCTGGTCATATCAGTAAAAGCTGCTTCCATAGAGCTAAATAAGGACTTTAGCCAATATTGGTGGATTCAAAAGTTGGGGGGGCAGGGGGTTGCTTAGCAAGATTTAATTTTACTTCTGATTCACCCAAGTTCATGCCTATAACTCTGCAGGTTTCACTACAGGTGAAATCCCAGCCAGTTTCTGTGCACAGGTTATTACATTTCATCAAAGCAAATGTGAGAGCGAAAAAAATAATTCTGCTAAATGCATTTGCATTCCTAATACCAGAGTGGGTGAAGTCAGCCATGATAGTAAGATGAGGAGCAAAGTTTAAGTATCTGCACGTTCTTTAGAGCTGCCTCAAATAGATGATGATGAATGACTGTGGTGTGAAAAATATGTACCCAGGAAAATAAAAAATAAAAAGCCAAGAACATGAAGCAGAGAGGAGGAGCACACGAAAGGAAGGGCACAAGAGAATGTTTAAGGCTAAAGGAAAGGTTGCATGATGAAAAACATTGGAGCAGCTGGGCTGGGTAATTACCAAGCAGGAGGGCTGAGGCTGGTAGGGCTGTGTTGGATGGATGAGAAGGAAGTGAGTCCAAAGAGGTGCTCTAGTAGAAAAGGGATGAAAAGCAGCCTGGGAGATGGAACTGATTTAGTGCTGCAGGTCTGTCACAGCCATAGATGGGGAGCAGGGGGTGGCTTTGGGGAGGCAAAAACGGAGCTGAGGGAGGGATAGTTGCTGCAGAGGAGCAGCATTGCCTTTGCTGGGGAGAGGGCAGAGCAGAGAATGCAGGGTCAGGGGACACAAGGTAATGCAGTGAGCTACAAAGCCACCTGCCAGAACCAGGGCTGTGGCAGCGAGGGGACAGGGGTGGCAGGGCTGCCAGGGGGACAGGGCAGAGCAGCTGCAGCTGCAAGGGGCTGCATCCCAGTGGGGCTGCAGCCCAGAAGAGACAGTGGGATGGAAGAAGCAGATGATACAGAGATCATCTGGGCAGTTATGCCCACAAAATGCAGCTGCTGCTCTCTAAAAGGATCTGTAGCTCTTCACACCTAAGTCAATCTATATAATTTCCATCTTACTGTTTCTCTAACCAAACATCGACTCCTTGCCTCACAGGCATCATCAGCTTCTCTCTGTTTCCACCTTGGTTAAGCCTACAGCAATTCCAGACCCTTGGGTATCCAAAAGAAACAACACAAGCCTCTGTCTTAATAATTTACATCAGAAACTGAAACAACACTCTCAGCTTTAAACAGAAATGGCATCTTCTGGCCTATTTTATGTATTTTTCAGAAGAACAATGCACTTTTGGAGCCAGCCTTAGTCAAACAAGTTATCCTCAGCTCACTGCACTGCAGAGCGGGTGAGCGGCTGCTGCTCGTGTGCCTCAGGTTTTGCACATGCAGCCTCAGCCTCTGATTGAAGCCAATGGGACACTTCTATAGGAAACAGCCCCTGGGCAAAGTTCTTCCCACTACATTTATCCCTGCAATCATCTGCCAGGGATTGTTTCCAAGCACACTTGTTCCTGCTCCCAGGAGAGGCCAGGTAAACCTGGGCTTTGGACCCAGCACTCGGGAAGGAAAAGGGCTTCCCAGGAAGGCTGGGGCCACACACACACACATACTGAGAGCACCCAGCAGCTCGGTTGGCTTTGAGGAAGGATGGTTTGCAGGAGCAATAGAGCTGGAGAGGAACAGCCAGGGACCAGCTGCCACAGGCTCACAACAGCCTGGGAAACCCTTAAGGCAGAGAGGAGAAGGGAAAGATTCAATGGGCACAAGTGACAGCAAAGCAGCCAGTGCGTTTGCTGAGTTATGTAACAATTAAAAAAACAGCCTTTAAATATTTTATTAAAGAGGAAATCATGCTGGATCTGCCACTGTATGCACTATGTTAAGGTAAGACCTGTTTCAACCAACAAGCACACGTACCAAGAGGACACAGAGCAACACCTACACATACAGAGTAAAATATGACAGGACATTTCACTGCAAATGAAATTTGGCCTTCAGTGAGACAGAAACTGAGTCATGAACTGAAATTGTCACAACTTAGCAACAGTGTTGCCCACTAACCCTGCACAGCTGACAAGTCTTGCAGATTCAACCTCCCCTCCAGGAGCCCAGCAGCAGCATGGAAATACATGGGTAGGAAAAAGAAAGCAGAGAAACTGTCACGAAAAATAATTTATCCATTTAAATTGTATGCAAAGGTGGCTTGTTTCAAGTTCAGAGAATACCTAAAAGCAAAGAACCAGGCTTTCCACTTCACTGGGTGTTCTCAGTTACTCTGTGCATTGCTTATGCTTTTGATCATTTGTGCAAGCTAAAGATTTTGTTACAGGGCAGAATGCCTGGTGTGATGGGAAAGCAGTTAGTGGGGATCCTCACAGTGTCACTTCTGGAATATCTTTAGGAACTGTATGAATGACAGACACACAGCCCACCCAAGGCAAGGACACTTTAATGTACACAATTCTCCTAAGGTTATAAAAGGGGACTTGCCCAGTTCTGCATAAATGCCAATCAGAACAAAGCAAAGAAGACTCCAAAGTTCAGCAATGTAAAATTAGTAACAAATTATTAATTAAGAACTAATCTTGAAGGGAAAAATATTTTTTACTTGACATTATAAAGGGGGGAAAAGATATTACGTTCTTCCTTTTTTTGTCCTCTCTTAGAAAACAAACAAACAGAAACCAAAAAAAAAAAATCTCACTCCAAATTTGAAGTATTCTGAAACTTAAAATTCTACATTTTGAACTATAAATTGTATGAAATACACATTTCTGTAAATGTTACAAGAAAACTCATGGAGTTGTATTAACTATCATATAAATCGTTCTGGTTTAGAGCATGGACTAGAAGAGACACTGGAAGATGTGGTTATGTCACAGTTGGGGAAACATCCTCATGATGGCTGCAGGTGGAAGTCACGGCCTTCATTCCTCCCTAAGAAACATAATCACAAAGATATGAAAGGATGAATACTGCAAGAAAATGGACGGATCAGAAGGCTCATACCTACACGAGTGAGGGTGCGGGTGAGGGAAGGCAGCCATCGCTGCTATAGCACTCAGGAAGACAGTCAAAATCCATTTTCTCATTACATTGACAGGCCCTGTCTCTGACTGACAGCATTTCAATCACACAGGAACAAAGTTAGGGTACATTTTTGGCAACGTCACTCTGTTATCTAGTTCAACGTACAAATAAGTCTCCATCTCTGCCACCATGGAGGGCTCTGCTTAGCTGCAGACGAGGCTCCCTCCACCCCGCCAGTACCTGGGGAATATTTGGCTTTCATGTGGTTGATGACTGGGTGCTGCAGGGGTGTTACAATGCCTTGGTTGGGTTTCTGGAAGGCCGAGATGAGGTTGTGCACTTTCCGAAAGAGCCTCCGCTGGACCCCAGGCGCTGTCTGCAAAGTCAAAGGATGAGAGGTGAGAGGGGTGCTGGGTGCTCGGGGTGCTGGCACAGGGGCCTTGTCCTCAGAAATGCACACAGCCCACAGGGAAGTGGCCAGCCATGGATGTGGACCCCCTGATGTGCCAACTTAAAATGAGTCAAGGAGCTGCACTGCTCTCCCCTTCCCCAGGGCATCACAGACTCCCTGCACTGAGCAACCTCCAGCAGCACAGTGATGTAAAGCTGGGAGAGGGACAATTTCTGAACCTCTACAAGAGAAACCTGGCACCTGGCATCCCCACCCACAAGTGATCTTTCACTCTTTCTGACCCTGACTTACTAGAGCCAGTGACTTCACCTCCTTACAAATAACTTCCTGGCATGTATCAGTAAGATAGTTCCAGCCTGCAAACACCAGTAAGACAACCTAGAGAGCTACCAGGGCTTACTGGGGAGTCCTTACACCGATAAATTTCAGCAAGGACACAGCCTCTTTGCAAACTCTTCTCTGAGCATTCGATGCTGGCTTATGTGTTGAGTATTCCTGCCTACGTCTTGTACAAAGACAACAACTAAATGTTACCTATTTATTAAAAGTGGGAGTTTTTCTACTTTCTAAATTAGCAACTTTTCAAACACTATGAAATGAAAACACGTGTGCTTTTAATCAAAAATCCAGCATTTGTGCTAAATCCTTCAGGGCATTCTTGCAATAACACCTCCTCACCACAGTCAAAGGAGGACAAGCGTAGGCGCTGCCAGCATAGTCACACTGGAGGGACAGTGCTCTCACCCAGCAGCTGTGAGCTAAATCCAACCTCTCTGGCACCAGCTGGAGTCTTCACACTGCCTGGGATTTCACCAGCACTGCTTTAATTTCCCTGCCTCGTCCTTGAAAGATGGGCGTGACCTGAGCTTGCTCAGAGACTAAACAGCTGCAGGGAAGGAAGCAGAGACAGGGAAGGATCAGCTGCATCTGGAGCCTCTGTTGGCCTTGGAGGCACATTCCATGGGGAAAAGTTGGATCTGTGCTGCTGTTTCTAACAGCTGAGGCCAGCGTGGTCTTAGCAACATTTACTTAAAGGTTTCTGTTTGCTTAAGGGAAGGGTTGGTATCATGGATTTGTAGCCAGCACCTTTTCCTGCAGAGGATGTACAGAGTCCTGGGCCCAAGGGTGAATTGTTTACTCCACAGTAATGTCAATCACTTCCACTCCCTAATCTGCTTTTGAGTAACCCTGAGAAACAGTTTTGTCTTTCAGAACACTGCTACCAATTCTATTATAATAATGGCCAAAGAATTATCCTTGTCTAGATATTCTAAAATATTTGTAATAAGTGTTCGTTAACATACAAACAGAAAGTAATTATGAATTAATACACAGAGTACATCCAAAGAACAAAAAATTCATAAAATAAATATAGGTTAACATCCCGATCCCATCAACCCAAATAGTTGTCTGTATTGCAAGTACTGTTTTTCTATACTAGAATTACTGTTTTCTTGTCAGATGGGTGAAAACATATTTTGTACCAAGTTTTGGTTACCCTGTATACATTTTTCTCTTATGATGAATTGATCTGGAGCAAAATTAACTTTAAAACAATGCAGATTGAAAATAATTTCTTTAAATATTCCTACATTAGTGGTACACGGATAGAACGGAACAGATTGTGCTTGTCAAGTTATAAAAACAAAATATTTTTGTTATTTAAAATGATGGAAAATAATGCACTATTGCATTATGCAACAGCTGAAGTGAAACAGGGAATTAATTTATGAATTCTAGACTGTCAGAAGTGGCACCAAGACATCTTACTGATGGGCACACTCAAGATCGATTACCATCAATGAAAATCAGACTATGCAGAAACATGAATAATTTGAATATATTTCATTAAATCTATAAGAATATGAGACAAGATGTAGAAATTTTCAGAAGAGAAAGGAGGAGTACACACCTCAGCACTCCAGGATCCAGTTTCTGTCTGGGACACTCTGTAGGTATAAACATAACCGTGATGCCTGTGGAAAAAAAAAAAAATTAACATGTATTTATTACTCATTTTTCCTGACAGTTTTCACAAGAGCTACACTCTGTTATGTGGGAGTCAGTTCATCTGCTAACCTGCCCTTAAAAATAAATTCACCTATAAAGGCTAAATTGATAAAAAACCCACTGGCCAGGCACAGCATTCAGTCTACTGGGTTCTTCTGGGATGAGAAGGACTGCTCTGACTCAGATCTAGTTTAGCAGTATTCAGTTATTTTAGGTTAAGTGATGCTGCTTTCATTCCTGCCTCAGCATTTTTATTAATTTTTTTTCCAGTGACCTCCTTTTACTGCCACACAGCAGACGTACTTTCCCTGCAAGAGGAGAAGGTGTGTTATTGGCTGATAGCATTACTGTTCTGTGACTCATTTAAATGCAGATGTTAACAGAAGCAATATCATGAGTATAATTGACTTGGAAAGCTAGACCCACAACAAGAAGGTAAATTAATTGCTCTTTGCTTTGCCCCTACATTCCTAACTCTCAAATATGGAGAAAGGAGACTTATAAGAGTATGGAATCTTCATTCTGTTAAAATCTGAGTCTTTTGATAAGGAGTCATACACCAATAGCACAAGACACACGCTCATGTCCAAAGTCAGTCTTGCTTCTCTCATGAACCCAGTGAATGATTTACATGGTAGATTATTATACAGATATCCAAAAATTTATGTCAGACACAGAAAAAATTAATAGTAGCTCCACGGGTGCAACATTAGTTTAGATGGTATCAGATAAGAAAGACTGTATTTCATACTACATAGATTTACATGAATACCCAGCAGGACTTCAGGGACTATTCCCTATTTCAGCATCAATTCCTACTCTTAAGAAAGCAGAAAAACACTATTTCTTTCCAGATATTCATGGTCTTATAGCAGTTACTAAAAATTTGCAGAAACCATCAATGACACAGATATCATGATTGCAATTACTTACGCTCTGTGTCATGGCTCCTGGATAAATTCCTGTCTAAAAGTCATTGCAGCAACCTTTGCAAAGCAGTGTCTGGTATAATTTACCCAAGCAGGATGTTGTTAACAGCTGGCACTGTGTTACAACCCCACGAAGTAGGAGCAAAATGTGTGTCAAGATTTGTGAGCTCTGCCCCCACCACATGACTCCTGTTGTGATTAAATGCAGAGGTGAAGGACACAAAGGCATTCACTCCCACTGGGGCTGCTGCAGGGACAAGCTCCCTGTTCAGCAGATGAGACAGTGCCCTCCATCTCCTCCTGCATGGGAATGTGACTGATGCTGCCCCACAATCCCACCACAGCTTCATCCACCTCTTCAGGCTCAATCTAGAAACAAGACTATGTGTATGCCACCAGATAGATGTGAAAAGTGGCTGCCAACGCTCATTTCATGGAAACCTGAGGAGAAAAACAGCTGCCACTGCTTCCCCCACTGCTTCCCCCAGGAAGCTGCAGTCCATCAGGGATTTGGACCTTGTGAAGAGGTGTGAGGAACCTGTTGTGGCTGCAGGAGGAGGGAAAGATGCGGAAGGACAACAGTGCTCTCCTGTCCATGCCATGGCACCACGGACACTGGTGGTTTAGGCCACAGCTCAAGACCAATTGCTTAAAAGCACATCCCTCTAAGACATTAGATGATGTATGTTCATGTTCAGGGAGTCCAATTTCTCCCTTTAGGGCTCTCAGACAATCTTATACCATCAGGTCTTTTCTTGAAGCCTCTGAGATCCGTGGCTGTATCGCCAGCTTTTCAGGAGTACCTGATGTTCACGTTAATTTTGTTTTAAAAATCACAAGGAGCTTTCCTGTACCTAAGTATGCAGCACACCAGTCAATATATGGTTAAGGAAATGAGGATTTTACAGGCTATAATATACTGGGAAATACCAGAGAGGTGCTGGCATTTAGTCCCATCTCTTTGAAGTGGGTCTTTAACCATCTCTACAGTGATTTTTTCAAGCCTCAAACCCAACAGAATCAGCATCCATGAATCTAAAACTCATTCTCTTCTCTTCTGTTTTTAATACTACACTGTGCACAAGTGTATGAGCAACCTGGTCGAGTGGGTGGCATCCCTGCCCACGCAGGGGAGTTGGAACTAGATAATCTTTAAAGTCCCTTCCAACACAAGCCATTCCATGATTCTACTACCCATCTTTGTTCCTGGTTGTCCCAAAGCATTCCAACTGCTTCAATCTCTTTAAAATCTGATTTTCTCACAAATGGCTCAGTTGTCTGGAAAGCCACCATCTGTTGTTTCTTTCATTGTTTTCTCTACCTAAGAGATTTCATGAGTTGAAGTGGTTGGGGGGCTGTGGTGCTGCTCTGTCTCTGAACTGTCTGATGGCTCTCAGGATTCTGCCAGAAGTGCTTTCTAAATTGAAAAATAGAAGTCAGATTAAGTAATATTCAATGCTGAATTGTGGTGAGATGTAAGATAGACACCTATCCCGTATTTTTAAAAAAATTACTATGCAAAATATTTCCACTCAGCACAGGGAAAGCACAAAGGATAATTCAGATTAAAAGCCCCTGAGATACAGAAAAAGGAACAAGAATTTGGGAACACAGGTGCTTTCAGCACAGCATGGAGAATGGGAGGAGTACTGCTATCCTGTTGCTATCACAGCCTCATGAGGGACAACCAAGAGCTCTCCGCTCACCTGGCATATGTTCATGATTTTCCCTGAGGAGAAAATCCTGAAAGACCTGAAAGGTTTCACTGTGCTTAAGTTGAAAAACACAACATTATCATGTGGTTTTTGCTCTGAAGCCACCAGGAAACAGAGCCAGTGTGTAGATGGGAGATGGCCTCGGCATCCACACCTGCTTGTTCAAAGGAAATGAGCAAAGGAAGGAGGACGCATTTTCTTGAGCAGGTGAACAGCTAGGTTTTCCCATTTCACCACTTTCCACTGGGACCTTGGTTTCCACAAAATGAGTTACAGCTCTTCTGATAAGTACTCTCCCAACGAACACGATCTTATCAAAACTTTCTGTCATGTGGCAGGAACTTACTTCATTACCACTTCAAAGAGTTTTTTACCTTCCACGTACAAATGACATGATTTTGACGAGCCAATTTTACTGCTACATGGGCACGGCCTCCCGTGAGAAAGGTTTTCATGATTTAAACTACCCAACGTTAACTAAGATCAGTGTGGGCTGAAGGAAGATCAAGGTGGTTTTTTAAAAAGTTAAATACACAAGTTAAAGTTGAGCTCGTAGAGAACATTAACTTCCAAAGAGCAAAACATGTAACAACAGGCAAAAGCAGGTGAAAAAGTCCATTTACTGGAGCTTAGGTCTCAGGAAATCAGAAATTCCCCAGCCACCATGAGAGGACAGCTTAGTTTTCTACGTTTTACTCTACTCAGGGCAGAAAAAAAGTTCCTAGAGTGACACGATGTCCTTATATGTGGTGTGATCTCAGAGAGCACTCTTACAGTGACACTGGTGTAGCACCATATCTTGGAGGAGGACTAGCTCCTGTTGCCCAAGCAGAGATTCAGTGAAGGGCCCCTCAGTCCCTTCTCCTGTCCTGAGGACAGAGACAAGCCTCACTGACAAGAGCAAAGCTCCTCTCTCATGTCAGTGAAGCTCAAGGGACAGGAGTAATCATGAATTAACATCTTAATGAATAAGGTCTTGTAAATTTTTTATCAAAGGCAAAAAATGCCAAAATGCTGGTGAGAGGAAGCAGAAAACAGCCACTGCTATAAGGACAATATCAGATAGCACTTACGAAAGAGTGCTTTGGTCACCACTGATGATATTTTTATGACATGTCACTTATTCTTTCATCTCCATAAGAAAGGACATGTTATACTGGCTGGGAACTGCACTAACACTGTCTCTGTTGCAATACCTTCATTCAGAAAACTTTGTCAAAGGAAAATATAGAAAAAGTTGCTATTACAGGAAATAGTCCACTTTATATTATAGGCTTTTTTTCCTTTATAGCTAGATAATTCCTCTGAAAGAGTTACAAAGGCATTGTTCACAGATGACACACTGAAGCAGCATCTGTCTACCTATCCTCTCCACTCCTCCTTTTCAACTGTGATCAGACTTGTTAAAGCTGCATTTACTTTAACAGGTGAATAATTACAATCTTCTGCACCATTGAAACAGCCCGAGGACATTAGCCACATGCTGCAGATTAAAATTAACCATGACATTTCAGCTGCATGGTATATTTTAAAATAATTTTGCATCTCAGTTAGGAAATTTTATTAAACTAATTTGTATTCATTTCTGAGTCCAAAATGGAAAAAAAATAAAGAGTGAGAAAGACAGAGAGACAAGGGAAAGCCATGTCAGCAATAAATGACATAATTTCTTCCTCTGTATGTAGCTTTCTCTTCAAATGTCAGTGCATTATATCAGTCAGAGCTTCTTACCTGGTACATTTGCAACCCGACCTTACCTTGGAATTTCACTTTGCAACATTGTTTAAGAACCAGACAGTGCTGTGGCCTACAAACAGAGGTCCTGAGGACTATACACCGACCAGGCTCAGTTTAGTATAACTTTGTCACATTTCAGCATTTCAGACTGAAATTTCATTTCTTAGGTGTTTGCCTCAGCCTATTTAGGGATGGAGAATGGAGAAGCATCAGAGAAGGGACATGTTAGACAAAATAATGTTTTTCCCATGTTAAAAGAAAACAACTTCTAATTGTTGGGGGGGTTGCCTAATTTTTGAAGTAACACATAAATTTTTTTTTTTAAATAAGGTATATCTCTTGTACTCTCTGAAACCAGTGGTGGCTCTCTAGGCTGCAAGAGAGGCACTCTAAAGATTTTCAGCAGTTTCAGCATCACCATGTCTGGGCTGGCTGTACCATGAACACTCAGCTAAGCAGTGTCCATGATCTCAAGCCACAAGAAATGTACGTGTGTTGCCCGGCCTGGATTAGTGAGGAAAAAAAGAGAAGGTAATTTAGCAATTGGGCATCTTGAAAAGGAAGACTGGGATTGGGTGGGATGGG